GGGCCGGTCCGACCGGGCCGGCCGCGTGGAGGAGCCGCAGACGTCTGCGGCACCCGCCCGTCTCGGGCCGGGCCGATGTTTGTTTACTTTCGCGTGTGTGACGGCGCCGTCGTCCGGCGGCGCGCCGCGGCCGGCGACGCCGACGCCCGGGCTCGACCGTCCTCCGCCGGCCGCCGACACCGGCCGGCGGCGTCGCCAGAGCCGGCGCTCTGCACGGCGCGTCCGCGGACCGGTGGGCCCTCTGCGCCGGTCGGCCGGCGGCCGCCAGCTGACCGGCCGGCCGGCGGAGCGGGCGCGTGCGGCCGGCCGGCCGCCGCCGCCGCCGCCGGTCGACACGCTGACCTTGCAGCCGTGCAGCGGTCAGCGCCCCGCGGCCGCGCGCGCGACGCGCCACTTTCGCGGCGCCGGCGCGGTATCGACTTTCTGCGCGGCCGACCTTGGCCGTGGAGTGCGGGCAGCGGGCGGGCTGGCCGCGCGGCCGCAGCCGCTGCCGGCGACCCAGCTGCGGAGACAGCACGTGGGGAGCACGGCCGGTGCTGGACGGCGGTGCGTGCGGTGGCCGGCTCGGCCGGTGCGTGGCACGGTGCCCCGGCCAGTGATGGCCGCCCCAGCCGGCCCCGTTGGGTCGCTGGGACGGGTGGGGCGGTGGCAGTAACGCCAGCCGCGTGCGTAGAGCGGCCGCAGAGGGGTGCGGTCCACGTTTCCTGGAGGCGCTTCCGTGGGGCTTGTCGCCGTCCTGGCCGGGTGTTCGGATCCGGGAAATATCCTGTTTGTCGTCGCCCTCGTGTCTGGGCCGTCGGAAGCTGGCTGTGTCGTGTGCGTTATGCGGAATGTGTGCTCCGGAGTTGGAGTTTGCACTGTTTAAAGTTGTTGAAAGCCCCTGATTTGATTTGAGGTTGGATCATCCGTTGGATTTGATTTTGCTGAGGGGGGGGGGGGGATAGCGCTCTTATGTTCTGTACGGTGACTGCAGGGACATATTGCTTTATGTGGTCAGCATATGTTTCCCCAGTTTTCGATCTGCTATCGACCATATTGGTTATAGCCCGGTCGTGGTTGGAACAAAATGGCCCTTATGCGACTTCCTCAGCAAAAAGCTGCCCACGGGGCACGGAGCCGGGAAATTTGCAACGTCTTACGCTACCTCACGTCCCACCGCGAGTGTGGTATACTGCCGTCCTGCTTGAGCACTCTCCAGGCGTCACCTCGCGTGCACACCTGCCGATTTTGCCCGGCAAAAACCGTGCAAAATTGTGTCCCGCCCGTCTGCGCCGTGACATTGCCGGCAATAATTGGCGCCATGCGCCAGACTGCCCTGATGGAAGTTCATGAGGCCGTCACATGGGCGCCGCGGTTGTTTGCCGGTGCCCTCCATGGTCCGCGCCGCTGTCGGTCGCCGGCGGTGCCGCTGAAATGTCAGACCTGCCGGCGCCGAGCCGCCGACAGGCACGACAGGTGTGCCGGCGCGCTCTCCCAGCTCGTCGACCTGCGTCGAGAGCTCGGCGGCCCGTGGCCGCGGCTGGCGGCCGCACTGGGGCCGTCCGGCGGCGAGTCTGCCCGGTCTGAGATGCGGCCGTCGTACCGCTGTGCTCGGACGGAGGACCCGGGACCTGGACCGAGGATCGGACGAAGCACCTGGACCGAGTCGGGGACCTGGACCGAGGATCGGACGGAGCACCTGGACCGAATCGGGGACCTGGGCCGAGGATCGGACGGAGCCTCTGGACCGAGTCGGGGACCTGGACCGAGGATCGGACGGAGCGCCTGGACCGAGGATCGGACGGAACACCTGGACCGACTCGGGGACCTGGACCGAAGATCGGACGGAGCACTTGGACCGAGTCGGGGACCTGGGCCGAGGATCGGACGGAGCACCTGGACCGAGTTGTAGACCTGGACCGAGGATCGAACGGAGCACCTGGACCGAGTCGTGGACCTGGACCGAGGATCGGACGGAGCACCTGGACCGAGTCGGTGGCCGCGCGCGTCAGACACCTGGCGATCGTCGCTTGTGGCGCCTCTGCGAGTTAAGCAGTCTTCGTTTGTATGTCGCGCTTTTCGTGAGATAAATGAAGCCAGCCTTGTCGGCGATCAACGTGGACGTCTGTATGAACGGGGCCTGACGACACGTCAGGACCCATCCAGAGGAGCCGTCGGCGATCAACATGGACGTCTGTATCGACGGAGCCTGGCGACACGTCAGGACCTATCCAGAGGAGCCGTCGGCGATCAACATGGACGTCTGTATCGACGGGGCCTGACGACACGTCAGGGCCTATCCAGAGGAGCCGTCGGCGATCAACATGGACGTCTGTATGGACGGGGCCTGACGACACGTCAGGACCTATCCAGAGGAGCCGTCGGCGATCAACATGGACGTCTGTATCGACGGGGCCTGACGACACGTCAGGGCCTATCCAGAGGAGCCGTCGGCGATCAACATGGACGTCTGTATGGACGGGGCCTGACGACACGTCAGGACCTATCCAGAGGAGCCGTCGGCGCGGTCTGCAGTAGCGTCCGCCCAAGCACCGACCCAGGCGCTGAGCACCGAAGCTTGAGAGGGACCGTTACCGCCTCGCTGGTCGTTGGACACCGGTGCGCCGTCCATAGTCGGGACACTGCCGTCCGGATAACTGGAGCCAGAGCACGGGACCGTGCAGGCGGCCGGAGTCAGAACACACGACAGAGTACACGGCCAGAGCCAGAACACACGGCAAAGTACACGGCCAAAGCCAGAGCACACGGCCTCTCCCTTACCAGCTGTCCGTCCCTGTATCTCGGTTGGTTAGGGCGCCTGCCTTCGGCTCCAGTCACCCGTGGTGTGGGGTAGGTTCGAGTCGCTTTGAGCGCTCGATATCCGTCCCTGACAGGATGCCTGCGGCCGGTGACAGCGGGCGCGTCTGAAGGTTAAGTGACGTCAGAGGGCAGGAACCGTGCGGAGCAATGTGGCACGGTAAGCTTTCACCACAAAATCTGCCGATGACCGGAATTTTGCGATCAGGCTGTGGCGGCAGGACTCACGCAACAAGCAATACTCTGCATGGGCTCTGATCTAAAAATTCATTGAGTTAAAGGTTCTGTCCAAATCTAAAAAATCAGCTATAGCGCCTGTCGTCCACTCGACCGCAGGCAAAACGCACGCCTTTCCATGCAGTGGGACCCAGAGCACACCACTGGGCGCCTGATCACCGTCATCTCACCCCGGTTCATACGACCAGGGCCGGAGCACACGAGCGTCATCGCGGCCAGAGCGCGAGCCGGCCGCCGCCGGCCTTTCCTCGCGCGGCCGCCGGGCCGGAGGTGTGTGTGGGCACAGGTGCGCGGGTGCGTCGGATTCGACACACCGACGCCGCGCCCCGGCGGACCGCACCTGGGGCGGCGCCGGGTTGGCCGCACGCGGTGCGAGCGAGCGCACAGCGCCGGCGCGCCTCGGCGAGGACGCCGCCGCACTCGCCGCCGCCGCGGCCTGCAGGCTGGTTCACAGTTAGGCCAGCCGAGCCCGGCGTCCGTTTCCGTAATGAGTGCGTCAGCTCGCCTGTCCTTGGCCGCCGCCGCCGCGCCGCCGCCGGGGGCGCTCCGACTGCGGTCGGCTCGGCTGGGCCGCTCTCGGACCACGCCGGGGAGCCGAGAGGCAGATGTGGCCATGTGACCCGGAGCGCCCCGGGGCGCGGCGTCCGGGCCGGCCGCGAGCCGTCCGTCGGCGGCCGCAGGACTGATAGCCGGCGCCGGCACCGCCAAGGCCACTGGCAGCGGCCGGGCCGGACCCTGTTGTGGGCCGCTGACCCCGTGTCCTCGCAGGCCGCGCCGGCTTGACAGGACAGCCCCGCTCCCGCAGCCGCAGCTCTCGCACCCGGCCGCGCCGGCAGCAGACGCTCGCCTCTGCCCGGCCTCCGGCGCTCGCGGACATGTCCAGCGCGGCCCCTCGCGCGGACACGCCCAGCCGCGGACCCTCGCGGACGTGTCCAGTCGCGGACACGTCCAGCCGCGGACCCTCGCGGACGTGCCCAGTCGCGGACACGTCCAGCCGCGGACCCTCGCGGACGTGCCCAGTCGCGGACATGTCCAGCCGCGGACCCTCGCGGACATGTCCAGCCGCGGACCCTCGCGGACGTGTCCAGCCGCGGACCCTCGCGGACGTGTCCAGCCGCGGACCCTCGCGGACGTGTCCAGCCGCGGACCCTCGCGGACGTGTCCAGCCGCGGACCCTCGCGGACGTGTCCAGCCGCGGACCCTCGCGGACGTGTCCGACCCCCGCGGACAGTGTCCAGCCGCGGACCCCCGCGACGTGTCCAGCCGCGGACTGTTACTTGTACAGCGGTCCTACTGCGTGCCATCTCGTGGCCTTCCAGCCGCGGACCCTCACGCATCTGTCCAGCCACGGACCCAAACGGCTCCGTGCAGTTACAGGCCCGATGTATCTGTCCGGTCATAAACAAACACGTGTCCCTCTCCCAGCCACAGGTCCACGCGTTTTCTCTCCGGCCCAGACCCAGACGTTTCTTCTGTGTGCTCACAAACCAGACATCTATTTTCAGCAACAGCCCACGCGCGACTTCCCAGCAACGGATCCTCGCGTCCCATTCCAGTCAGAGGTGCAAGCGTCCCCAATCAACCTTACGAAAAACGCGCGCGCGCCACCGTGCGGCAGACCGGACTGGCGGTGTCCGTGGCAGGGCACTGCGGCCCATTGACTCACCGCGGCCTCGGCACAACCCTTCCGCCACCACCGGCGGCATGTCACACCGGCTTCAGGGAAACCAGGCGGCGGCGGCGGCGGCGGCGGCGAGCGCCGTCGGTGGTGGAGTGACCGAAGCGGGACCCAAGGGCGTCACGTCTGTCGCCGACCGCAGCGCACGGGTCGGCGCGAGGTGCCGCGCTGGTCGCGTCGCCCCCCCCCCCCTCCCCTCGCGGGCCGCACTTGAAACACCGGCTCGGCGACGATGAGACCCCGGTGCTGCGGCTGTTACCGTGCGGCTGCCGTGCAGTGCCTGACTTGTGGCTGATAGCCGGTGCACGGAGGGGCCAGTAGCGGTGACGTGGCATGCACCAGGGCTGTTCACGGAGGCGGCTCGGGCCCGCCGCATGTTCGGCTCCGCGCATGGCATTACGGCTGGGATTGATTCGCGGAGGTGTTGGCGTGCTGTGGTCGGGAGTGGTGAGAACTGTAGGCTCGTTGGGAGAGCAACGGCTGGAGATCGGGCAGCGCTGTGAAAAAACGCGTGCAAAGAATGGCATGGTCGTGCAAGTTCATTGGGGTGTTACGGGCCTGCATGTATTTGTATGCTTCTATATTTGACATCACGGAATGCTGCATGATGCTCAAGAGGCAAGACATATTATTTATCAGAATGTGTCCATTGATTTAGCTAAGCGGTCATGGAGCTTAATCCCCCGCCTACCCCCGCCCCCCCCCCCCCCCCCCAACGCAGTTTTTCAGCACGGTAGTAATGAATATGATTTTACGATCTGGTGAGCAGTGGAATTGTGCCGGCTTTGCACGTCATTAACCCTCACGGACAGTGGCATGTCGAACAGCAGAAACTTGGTGAAAGCCAGTGGAAAGCCGAGTGCATACGTACGGTACGTAGCTGAGACAATTGTTTCCGGCGTCAGGACATTGTCAAGTGGATAGCTTATTGATACTTTAGGTAGTGTGCCTGTTGTCGTTGGTAGCCTCCGTAGTCTGTTCGCAGTGCATAGATGCCGTGGCTGGCGCTATGATTGTTTTTTAATGTTGACCCCGTCGCAAATCCTGATAATCCTCCGCTACCCTGCGCGATTCCTGGCGGTGGCCGAGATGTGGAGATCGCGTGGTGCGCGTGAGAAGCAGGCTTGAAGCGAGTGCGAGCATATTGTCATACGCTGCCGTAAAATGATGGTGCACGGTGGGGACGGGATTTGAGAAGCATCGCTACACACTAGGAATAAAGTACTTGCTACACGAAGCCGGTGCTGGCACGGCGCTAGCACCAGCACAGCTTCAGGGATGCCGGCTTAGAGGCTGTGGTGTGAGGTGGCACCGGCGCCGGCGCCGGCTTTGAATGCATTCAGTTTAGGCCTCCATTTCCTGGTACTAGAAAAATCCTGGCATCTCCGGCGCCGGCCCGATACCGTCGGTGCCGGCTGAATGCCGGCTTCTGGTACAAGGGTACACACCCATCCCCGATGCTTGGGCATTTGTTCATGTTCCTTTTTTTTGCCGCGCCGTGAAATCGCATGTCATTCTAAAATTATATGATAGATAATTAAAAAATTAAGACATTTTGGTGCTGTGAGCCCTGCTCGTAGTGTTTCTTTTGTTAGCTCGCCGGTCGTTTTTACCTCCCAGGAGCCTTCTTTAGTTTTTCCGGCTGTAGTTTCTCAGCCGTTGGGATGTGGTCGTGGCACCTGGTGCCCTTTCCTGACCATCCCTTAACACCCGCCGTACAAATTCAAACTCCTAGTTGCAGTCAGTGACGACTGCAGATTGGGTTAAGGGAGGTATTTTTGAGCAGCTCTGTTGTTTTCCGTCGGCCGGTAGTTCATATCAAAGAGGTCTTACACACAATGGAAGAAAGTGTAACAACTGACGTGCTGTGTTTAGGTGATGCATGGTGACTCACATGGGTCACATGGGGATGACAGCAGCGGTCCCTGGGAACAAAAGCCTGTCTTCACTTAGTAAAAGTGACATGTCTCGGTATTATGGTATTGGCCCGATTGCATTATGGATGAGAGTCGTTTGCATCTATGTTTGTAAAGTTTTCCAAAAAATAGTCGAGTTAGGTTGTATTTCTAAGCAGACCGGTGTTGGACCACTGCTGTTAAAGTCTGTATCATTTTTCGCGCCCTGGACATCGTTCCCAGGCATGCTGTTTCGTTGCATTCTGGAGTTTGTGTCTGTCAGTCCTACTCTATCTGTGGCGTGGCGTAGGCCACGATACGGGCTCTCCGTGGCCCGGGTGAACTGTCTGTTCCGGCCCAGCCCAGCCCGTGTCCGGGCGACGGGCCCACGGTGCCTGCCGGCTGGTAGCGCGCCGGGCCTAAGGAGCCGTCCGGACTCATGACACAGCTCGACCATGGATATTGAGAGGCCTGCCCTTTCCTCGAGCGCTGCTGAGCCAAGCCGTGTTGCCTTTCGCGGGTACGGTGGCGTTTCGCCCCCGGTATTAGCCTCTCGGTCCGCAGACGAGTGTTTCGACTGCAGCCGGAGCCGGCACACACGCTCGGGCTGCCGACTTGCGTGAGCTTGACTCGGGTACCGACGCGAAACGCGTTGTTGGTCGCGGCGATCGATGCGTGGTCGTCGGCGAACGGTCGCGAAACCGGGGGCTCGGTGCGGCGCGCGTGACCCGCTGTCCCCCGGGAACTACCGCTTCGGCCGAGTCCCTTTGAAGCGGCGACGTGGCGTGCCGCGCCGGCAGCGGCAGAAGTGGCGGCCCGGCGCACCCCATGCCATGCGCGCAGTGCGACCTCATCAAGTGTTGACGGCGGAAGTGGGACGCTTTCGGCGGTGTCTAACGATGCGCGCGCTCCGACAGGTCCAACACGGTCCTCGATGGCGGAGGTGCCGGAGGTGACCGGCTCCGTGGCGCCGCCGCCCGTCAGCCGCATCATCAAGGAGGGCTGGCTGTACAAGCGAGGTCAGTGGCGCTCGCGTCCGGCGCCGGGTGCGGCTCGCGCTCCCGGCGCGGGCCTGCGGCGCGGGGACACGCTCCCTGTGTCCCCGTGCTGGGATCGGGGTCCTCCTCGGGCCGTCGGGGACGCCACGGGACCGGCGGCTGCGGAGGGACGGGGCGGGTTGTATGTGTGGTCGTGCGGAAAGGCCGGGTCTGCCCATGCCGGTCCGGCACTGCCGACGACTTGTTTGCTGTGGGTACGCCCCCTCCCCCTCCCCCCCCGCTCCCCCTCCCCCCTCCCTTGCTCCCCCGGGGGGAGGGCGGGGTCGATCGGCAGTCAGCAGGTGCAGCGGGTGGGGAGCGTAGCCCCAAACACGCCCCGTGTGGAAAGGTCAGGTCAAAATGCTGACACGTCCGGCGGCAGGCGCGTCGCCGGTGGTCGATGAGCGTGCTGCGCCGGTGGCGTGGGTGACCCTGGCCCAGGGCTGGTCGACTGCGGCGCTGAATCAACGTCCTGCTCTTACCAAACCATTGTTCTTGCTCGCATCGTATTAGTAAGACCGGTCCCACTGCGTCAGTAACACTTACCATGCTACACCAGTATCCCCGGCCTGATATTTTTAATACCTACCTTCTTCGCAGCAATAGCAGTGATTTATTGGCTAATTTGTCATAGCCCTGTCCCATAACGTAAGACAATGCTGAAAATTGCGTGCAAATGTACGTGAGCAGCGATCGCACGTAGTTGCACAGACTTCATTTGAACAGACGTGCTCCTCCATTAGTTCCCGCCGTCGCAGTGATATCCGGGGATAGGGCTCAGCCTTGCGTGTGCTCAGCACGGGCAGCGAGGGCGGCGGCTGGCCGCTGCTCGGTCCGCCGCGGCCGGCGATGCGCCTGAGGCTCCTCATCGCGCCGGCCCGCTCGCGCCGCGCCTCGGTCGGACCGCAGCCGCGCCCGGCATATTGCCCTGCGGTGCCGTTCGGTACGCGTTGAGGGTACGCCCGTGGTGTGCTGGGCTCCCTCATCTCGCTCCATCGGCGCCCGTCGCCCGTTGGCCGTGGGATGCCGTGGGCGTTCGGTTCGGCACGGCTCGACTCGACGCGGACGCGGCGGTACCAGTCGGTGACTTGGCTATGGACCTGTGTGTGGAGGGGAGGGTGGCGGAACTTTGGTAGCAAGGCGCCGCACGTGCATGGAACAAACACGTCAGTTATTTTTTACTTGGTGAGGCGCAAAGCTGCAATCGCAATGGGAAGGCTGTTTATGTTTTATTTTACCTTAGGCAAAAAGTCTGTCTACCGACTTTTGGTCCTGTGGGTTCGAGTCGCTTTAGTCGCTCGCTATTTACGCCTCCCAGGAATGGCCTGCGGCCGGTGGCAGCGACCGCGCTAGAGGTCACGTGACGTCGGAGGCCAGGACAGACCGGGCCTAGCGTTGTGGCACGTTAAGCTTTCGCCGGCCAAATTCAACTGTTGAATCGAAATTGCATGGTGTGATGTTGGTGCAGGGCTCACGCAACAAGCACTGCTTAACGTGGGCTCTGGTCCTGGAAATTCATTCACTCAAAAGATTGGGACCATATCCTTAAAAGATATACTAGTAAGAGTACTCAGCTCGACATTGTTCGCTTCGTAATTCATCAGCGTCCGGCGTCCCGTTCGAACGGTTCACATCTTGTTGGAATCGGCGTGTTCTGTGACGATTGACGCTGGATCCGGTGTCATATGAAAACTACCGGTGGCAGAAATAGGGCCGGATGTCCTGCGTAGTGCGACTGAGTGCAGCATTCCGTCCAGTGGTGAGACACCTCCGCCAGTGGTTTGCCCTTCGACCCAGTTCAGTGATAACGCCGTGGTCTGCTTTAGTTGTGTCACAAACCGGCATGTTTGGATTCGAGGGAGCTGCGCCGCCCTCGAAAATGCTTCCTGAACGCAGGCTTCGTAGCCCGATGCGGCGTCAAATCCGGACGAACTGCTGCTCTTCGTGCTTCAACGCACACGAATCGGTACTGTGAGTGGCACGCGGCGCACTCGCAGGCGTGCGGCGCGCGGGCGCACCGCCATCGGCGCGGCTGCGATCGCACCCCGGACCATCGCCGCACGTGGATGGCCGCGGACGAGCAGCCGCACTGCCCTCCAGGCGGCGGCCGTTCGGGCCGGTCATCCGACCACGGCCGCGTTCCGTACCCGCCTGGTCCAGTCCCGCCGGGGGCAGGGGCGCTCCGGAGCGTCGACGGGGCGCCCTGGAGCCCCGCGCGCGGCGAGCGCTCGGGCGGCCGGCGCGCTCCGGTCAGCTGAAACAGTACCCAGCACGGCGGCTCGGGCGGGCTTGAGCCCCGGGCGTGAGTGCGGAAGACTGCTCCACGTCGAGTGCAGTGTCACCGCCGTAACGTGTCACATGTGGCACCTTTTCCGGGTCAGGGGCGTAAGACATGCTGAACAAATGTTCAGCTGGTGGAGCCCTCGACCAACGACTCCTTCGATGTCGTGCACAAGGAGGGAGGCCTACGCCTACGGTTTCTTCGGTGCACTGTGCGCGGCAGCAGCCGTAGGCCGTACGGCCGGCGCACGGTTCACAGTTCACGGTCAGTTCACAGCGCGGCTCCTTCCGTGGAATGTCAGCCCGCGGTGGCGGGACTGTGTCGCCAGCAGTGGCCGGCGATGAACTATTCAGAAGCGTTTAGACCTGTTGGATGATCAATGTGTTTACGTGAATGCGTGCCATGGAACGTCTTGCCCCTCTGGCGACGGGCTGTTTGGAATACCAGTACGTGTCGCACTCGTGCACATTACAGCCTACATTGTTTATACTTGCCATGTTATGTTCACACATTTTTAAGCTGGGTGCGTTTGTGGACGCCGCAGATGCTGAAAGGGAGATGCAGTTCACAGTTCACAGGCTATAGGATAGCCGTCGACGTGATCGATGTTGGTCAGAATGGCCATGCGCTTCGGAGATCCTTATCCTACAGAGGCTCGGTATTCAAAACAGTCTGGGCTGGCGTTTCGGTTCGGTAGGACGCTCTTCGCGCGATGCGGTTTCCTCGTGCATCTGTTTTATCCGAAAATAACCAAATATGCCTGAAAAGAGGCGCGAGCGATGCGCACTGCAGACGTGTTTCAAGCCGTTGCTGTGATCCCGAGGTTTTCCCAGAGCTCCATGTCGTGCTGGACCTTTCCTGCAGTTCCGCGAGCTGCTCGGTGGCCCGGGGGGCGGGGGCTGCCAGTTCGCCCTCCTATCATCGCCACCTCCACCCGTCCACGCCGCCCGACCGCGCCGCTCGCAGACCGCACCGCGCCGTCGCGCCTGACCTCGCGACCCCGCGCCCGCGCGCCTCCCGTGGGCCTGCTCGGGCCTGGGGATGACTTCCGGCCAGCCGGCCCGGGCGGGCCGTCGCCGCCGCCGCCGCCGCCGCCGCCGCCCGGCTCGTAGGGCCGCCCTCTCGCCGTCGCCACGAGCACAGCAGCCGCGGGGATGCGCGGTCTCGTCGGCGCCGTGCCGCCGCCGCCGCGAGCACAGCAGCCGTGGGGATGCACGGTCTCGTCGGCGCCGTGCCGCCGTCGCCGCGAGCACAGCAGCAGCGGGGGTGCGCGGTCTCGTCGGCGCCACGCCGCCGTCGCCGCGAGCACAGCAGCCGCGGGGATGCACGGTCGCGTCGGCGCCGTGCCTCCGCAAGTCGCCGACGTCGAGCCGGCGCGGCGGCGGCGACGAACGCCCGCCCGGCTGTCGCGCGGCTGTTTGTGTGCTGTTTTTGCGCTCAAGGTCGGCCGTGTTTTTGTGCGCAAGGTTAGTGGCACGTTACGATGTTGTGGCGGACTCGGTATGTACGCGGGAGGGCGCGTGACGTCACTCAAGGGCGGGACTCGCACGTGGGCGCCGGCTAGACGCTGTGCGGCAGGCTTGCAGTATGGGGAGCAAGGTCTCGTGCCGCGGCAACGTCAGACAGTACCAAATCGGTACTGGCGGTACCGTAGGAAGCCGGGGCAGTGGATGAGACCGGGATGATGTCATTCACTAAATGCATGGCATCGGCACTCATTAAATGCATTCAAATGCAGCGCCAGCGTGGCAGCCATCCAGCCCGCTCCAGACCGGTACCCATGCGCCTTGAATGGTGCCGGTACAGGTGCCGCTGCCAGGTGTTCGTGCAAACCGCGAGTCCCACGCGCTGTCCTTCGGGGGTTGCCGCGCGCGGGCGGCCGCTCCGCTGGCTGCCGGCGGCGGCGGCCGGCGCCGGTGCGCCCGCGGCGGCCGCGGGGCGCTGAACCGGGCACCAGTGCCAGCGTCATGCGGCGTCACGCGCCTCTGTCCAGACGCCGGTCGCCAGCGGGGACAGACAGCCGGCCGGGGGGGGGGGGGGGGGCTGCGTTTCGTCGGCGGGCGACTGTGCGTGCACCGGCTAAATATCCGGGCGGCGGGGCGGTGGGGCGCCGGCCGACGGCGCCCGACACCGGCGGTGTCCCGTGCGGCCGCCGCCGCCGCCCGCCAGGCGCCACGGGAGACCAACGCTGACCTTTCGCGCCGGCGGCGGCGGCTCGCGTTCGGCCGGCCGCCGGCACGGACCGGGCTGTTTTCGGGTCGTGCCCGCGAATAACAACTGTCTCGCCCGTCTGGCCGAGGCGCCGTGTTGTGAGCGCCGGGACAACAATCGTGGGCCTCTCGTGACGTGGCCCCTCGGCGCCGTGCACCCGGTCTGGCCCCCTCGAGCTGGCGGGCGGAGGGAGGGAGCTTCCGGGGCGCTCCAGGGGTACCGCCAGCCGGCTCGCCGTTCGTGACTGGACGCCGTTAGGGAGCGGCTGGCCGGTCGGGTGGCTCCATGCATGGTATTACCCATGTCCCACGGGCCCCGGATGCTGCCTCGATCATCGCTGTGATTGATCCATGTTTCTGTTTATTCTGGGTATTTGGTCCACTCTTGATTCATGCTGTTTAATCCTGGTATTTGATCCAGTCTTGATTTATGCTGTTTAATCCTGGTATTTGATCCAGTCTTGATCCGTGCCGTCTCTTGCTGACCCCAGTTCCCACCTCACCCTCTTGAACCCTGGTCTCTCCCCTCCCCAATCCCCGTGTAGAGCCAGATGTCCCGCCGTTCCAGTCCCTGCCCTAATGCAGACCTCGCCAGTGCCGACCCGCCAGTCATGAGTGTCCCCGTCTAACCGCACCCCAACCCCTGCCCTGGCCCAGTTGCGGCCCGGCCCCAATCTGTGCCCCACCCCAGGTCCAGCTCCTGATCCGACCCCTGCCCGATCATCAGCCCCAACCCGTGCGCGCTCCAGCTCCTGCCCCGGCGGCGACCCCGGCTCGCTGCAGCAGCTGCCAGTATTGACCGACAGACGCCCTGGCCGCGGTGCCTGGATTCACGACGCCCACTGTGCCCCAGGCGAACACATAAAAACCTGGCGGCCACGCTACTTCACCCTGTTCGACGACGGCAAGCTGCTCGGCTTCAAGATGGCGCCGAACGCCGGCGACTTTAGCTCGCCGCTCAACGACTTCAACGTGCGCGACAGCCAGGTACGCACGCGGCCGGGCCTCTCACGCCATCTGCCGCACGCGGCCGGGCGCCTCACGCCATCTGCCGCACGCGGCCGGGCGCCTCGCGCCATCGGCGGCGCATTACCGGCTTTGTCGCCGGCTTTGTGGGGTCTCTGTAGATCTTGTAGATCTGTCATATTCACTTTGTTTTTGTTATCCGTCGTGGTCGGATTTCCAAATAGTACTTCAGATCATCATTGGCGTGTGGTTGTTGTATCCCTCAGGTCGGTTCCTTCTCTGCTCACCTCAGTCCTGCATCCTCCCAGTCGACGCCGTTCCTTCTCGCGCCTCGTCCTGCTCCGTACGGCGTCTCCGCGCCGGCCGCACGCGCGCACCACAGGTGTGTCGCGCCACGCCGCGCCGGTGCGTCGCGGTGTCGCGGTGCGTCGCGTCCCCCAGCGCGCGGTGACGTCACCCGCCACTGCGTCACGGTGACGCAGCGGTTGCCGCCGCGCGGCCGCGACGCGCGGGCGTCCTACCCCACGCCGGTGCGCGGCGGCCGGCCGGGCAATTATGCGGAATGAGCTCATTAACCGGCTCCGCCCCGACGAATGGGGTGCCTCTGCGCTGGACACAGCGCCCAGCGCTGTGCGGGGTGTCGCCGGTGACAGGTGTCCGGCGGCTGCCCAGCGCGAGCTGTTGGTAATGAGCCGGCGCCGCGCGTCGCACGTCTCCCACCAAGCGCGCGCGCTGTGCAGCGGGCGAATGTGGGACTGGTGTTCGATATGCCTGAGGTGGTCGGCGTTGAAAAAACCGGCCTGAACCTGCTTAGACGGTAGCCTTCCGGTGTTACCCCTTCTGTACGTGGAGGGCGGCGGCCGCGGGAGCTGCTGTTAACAAGAGCGTCTATATGGGGACCTGATCCCACGAAGGTCTTAAATCAGCCTCCGTTGTTCGGTGCCTTCATATGGCCTAGTGTAGATGCCGCTGTGTGGCAGTTAATTGAGTCACCAAAGCCGGCCATTGTGAGGTATCACAGAAAGTGGATGAAGTCCTACGCATCTGTCTTAACTTGGAGCTTTATTTTTGTGTGGTTAAAATGTCATTGAGTGCCGATTATTGTGCCCCGGGCTGTATCGATTGCACCAACGACATTGTGCTCCCAGCAGTGCCGAAAGTCGTTTAGGTACAGTATTTGCTCCCGTATTTGCAAACGCCGAGGCGAGATGGTTGGATCAGTTTCTGTTGAGTGAATTCCGTATGCTTGCTTCGAACGGACAACGTTGGTAAAGGTTTGAATTCAGTAAAGCTCGTTCTGAACGTGACGCAGCCCTTCTGGGGGCCTCCATTCCGGGCAAATATCGCTGCTGACATTGTGTTTAGCGCTGCGCAGGGTCCACAGTGCGCCCATCTAAGGGAAACACCAACCCGTCTGTTGTATTCTGTGCTCACGTCACAGCGGACTTTAAATGCGCGCCTGTCAAACGTCGTGAAGCCAATTACGTATGGAACCACCGGACTATCGTGCAAACATCTATATGCATGTGTATTAAGATGCAAACTAGAAGCTCTGTCACCCTCGAATGTTTGCCACACTGACGTTCACTTCTATTTCCCCACCTAGATTTGCAGAGTGAAGAGGTAGCCGGAGGTTGACAGCATGTCGTGAGTGGCCATCCGTGAGAGGGTGGTTCACTCCACGAACCCGACCTGACCTGACCTGACCTGACCTGACCTGACCTGACCTGACCTGACCTGACCTGACCTGCCGACCAGGTGATGGTGTCGGACCGGCCAAAGCCGCACGCCTTCAGCATCCGCGGCCTGCAGTTCATGTCTGTGATCGAGAGGAACTTCCATGTCCAATCGGACAAGGAGAGGTACGGCTTCGCCCGCGGTGGGTCTGGAGGCGGGCTGACCTGTCCCGTCGCCCCGGGCGGGCGGCTCGCCCCCACGGTCGTGCTGGGACCCCAGCGGGGTGCTCCGTTGTGTCAGGTCGTGAACGGCTGCTGATATGTCAGGGACGATGACAGACGAATGTGGTCGTTGGCGATCGCCACGGTCGCCGGGGCCGGTGTCTATCATTGCGCCTCGTCTCGCTGCTGTGTTTGGCGGAGCCCGCCGCTGCTCTGGCCGATGTCCTGTGCTGGGGGATGTTTTCCAATTAGCTGCTGGGAGAAGCACGGACAAGAGGACGCCGTCAGTCCAAATGTGATTCTTGCTGTCCTGGTAGTGCGTATTGATTTGTTATTTACGTCATAGGAGCGCCCCTGCGTTTGGTCGAAACCAACTGGCCCGGAGTCATCAATATGAGTAGCCTTTATTAACCCCCCAGTGGCTTGATCTGACGCGTCGTCCACCCATCGCGCCCCTCAGCAGCGCTCGATCCGCCAGTGACCCGTGAGTGACCATCCCCGACCCGCCAGTGACCCGTGAGTGACCATCCCCGACCCGCCAGTGACCCGTCGGTGACCCGTCCTGGTCCATGGATGGTCGCGCTGGCCTACCTGTGACCGGTCAGTGACCCGTCGGTGACCCGGCAGGGATGAGTGGACCCAGGCCATCTCGTACGTGATCAACAAGCTGGCGGAGGAGGACCGGGGCGCGGCTGACGTCGAGATGGGCCGGTTGGCCGAGGAGGACGACTTCTCGGCAAAGTTCATGGCCATGTCCACCACGCAGAGCAAACACTCAGGCAAAAAGAAAGTGGTACGTGCCAGGGCGACCAGCGCGGACTGCGCGAAAGAGGCCGCGACGGCTGGGCGGGCTGGGGTTTTAAGTGTTTCAGTGTTTCATTGTTTCATGGTTTGTTGTTTTTTTGTTTGTTTGTTTCACTGTTTTTTATGTAATTGTTTCATCACAATGGTGGTGACGATGAGTGAGGGGATGGGAAGTCTGGTGATCAGAAAGTGATCTGGCCGGTGAAGTGTGGATCAGCACGTGCACATGTGGATCAAGCCGTCAAAAACAAGCACGTGTGGATCTGAAGGTGGAAAAGCTACGTATGGATATGGTAAATTTGGGCGTTATCTGCTTGACAATGCCAGTTTTAGCATCTGCTTACCCTCGCCGTTGTTTTACGCTGCGTGGGCCTTATTTCCGGTTGGGTGCTCGCTGTTCCCAGCTTGAGTGCGATTGCTTGGGATAAGCAGGAACGCAAATCACCCTTCCGTTCTGGTGGAATACAGTACTGCTACGGGGGTCATCTCACTAGCAGCTTGTCAAGCATTGAATGTATTTGGACCGTTATCTATACCAGGGTGCAAGTGTCCGGGTGCGCATGTTCCGAGGCAAAATCATAACCTCCCCGAACATAACCTATCGCGAGTCGTCTGGTCTCCGATGATGGCCAGTTGATATATGTTTCACGCATATTTTGCCGACTTCTCTTGATCCATTGACTCCGGACGTTTCGCAGTTGTCAAGCAGCGCACCGCCGCATGAACGTACGCCCAGTGGTTTGCGATTCGGAGCGTAGGCATCAGGCGACTGGTGCTTAGACAGCAGTGCCATACGCTGCGTCTCAACCATTTCCCGCGTATTTGCATGGCAACGACTCCGCTCATGGCGACCAAATCGACTTTCTTCTGGAATGAGCAAACGATTATTCTCGGATGTGATAAGCATTGACGATTGATAGCCAGGCAGCGAGCGATATAAGACGGGCTTGTAGAACGAGCTCTGTTGATGGTGAGCAGCTCTGCTGCAGCCAACTGTTCCGTGCGCCATGTCTGCACGTTTGTTTTTGCCCCCAAACTCCTGAGAGCGCACCTGTGCAGGGGCAGCAAAGCGGAAGAGTCAGTTCAGATGACGTTCGTGGGAACGGTGCAGCCCGCTCATGACGTGCCGTCCGCTAAACTTGAGGAGGATCGCATGGCTGAATATAGCTTGCCGAGCCTGCAGCGCATCGCGTAACGCTGCGCGGGCTGTGTGTCGCCGCCACGGACGCGTCCGCGCAATGCAGGCTGGGGGCGTCTCACCGCCGTTGGCCTCTGATTGCAGACTCTCGACAACTTTGAGTTTCTCAAGGTGCTCGGCAAGGGGACGTTCGGCAAGGTGATTCTGTGTCGAGAGAAGTGCACGGGCCACCTGTACGCCATCAAAGTGCTCAGGAAGGACGTGATCATCGCCAAGGACGAGGTCACGCACACGCAGACGGAGAACCGAGTGCTGCAGCGCACAAGCCACCCCTTCCTCACGGTGAGCTGACGGACGGGAGAGGCGCGCCTCGCTTCGCCTCGCCTCGCCTCGCCTCGCCTCGCCTCGCCTCGCTTCGCCTCGCCTCGCCTCGTCTCGCCTCGTCTCGCTTCGCCTCGCCTCGCCTCGCCTCGCCCCGCCCCACCCCCCCCGCCCCGCCCCGCCCCGCCCCGCCCCGCCCCGTCTCGTCTCGTCTCGTCTCGGTCTCGTCTCGTCTCGTCTCGTCTCGTCTCGTCTCGTGTCGCCCCGCTTCGCCTGGCCTCGCCTCGCCAGGGCCGCCGCTGTGGCCGCTGAGGAGGCTAGCTCGGCGGCCGGCTGGACTAAGCTCCGGCAAGCGGCGGCCGGCGGCTGTGCGCTGTCCTCTGAGCGACTGGCGGCGGCTGTGCGCTGTTCTCTGAGCGGCTGGCGGCGGCTGTGCGCTGTTCTCTGAGCGGCTGGCGGCGGCTGTGCGCTGTCCTCTGAGCGACTGGCGGCGGCTGTGCGCTGTTCTCTGAGCGACTGGCGGCGGCTGTGCGCTGTTCTCTGAGCGGCTGGCGGCGGCTGTGCGCTGTTCTCTGAGCGACTGGCGGCGGCTGTGCCCGGGCCTCAGCGGCATGTGCGACGGCCGAGGAGCGTCGGAGCATCCCGCACGGCTCGTGCGCAGAGGCCCCCAGACTGAGCCTCGTCCGTATCGGATGCCCGAGCCAAGCTCCGATGGCTTTATCATCAAAATACGACGCAGGAGGCCCCCAAGCAGAAAATGACGTCAGACATAGCGTAACTTCGGGCTGCTGCACCGTAACATCCCAAATCATGCGCAGGCTGTACGAATACATAGTTCCTAGATCGAGTCCGTTCATACCAGAGACTCCCAAATCTGAGCCGATCGCTGCTTACCAGGAATGCGAAGGACCGTGGGACCCAGGTGCGTAGAAGTGAAGGATGTGCACAAGTTTCGGTGCTGGTCGTGAGGTTCTCAAATTGGGGTATGCGTATAGTCGTGCGGCGCGACGCGCACGCCGCTCCCAGTTTGAGAACCACAAGGCTTGCTCTGTAGCTTACGCACTACCTGACCACGTGTTTGGGTCCAGCGAGGTTCAGCAGGGTCGGGCTGTGTCATCTGGCCGTCTCGTCGGCAAAGGCGAGCGAAGCATGCTCGCTCGTCGTCACGAGCCGGTGCCGACGCGCATTAACCACGCGTTAATGCCGAGGTGCGGTGACCTACTTTCACCCGCGAGCCACCTTCAGCACTAAGCCAACGGTGGCTTACGTGACTGCGTGCTGACCCTGCAGCAGATTGTGACGTGTGTGGCATACCGAACCCTGGAAAGTCACGGCGCCGGGTTTTTTGTGCGTGATGGTCAATGGAATGGCACACCTGAGCCGGCTAGATGCAGGCGTGGCCTCCTTTCCACCGCGACTGTGTTCGTTGGATTTACTCGAAGCGGGCGTGGATACGTGGCGGTTGGAGCGCTCGTGAGTTTGAGCGTGGCGTCCGACCAGGCTTCCTGGCTGTCAAGGCAGGTGTGCTTGTGGGGGGTATGTGTGGGGGTTCGGCCGTGGAATGTGCCGCAGTGCACGGTACCCCCGTCTGATACATTCGTAATGTGCCCTTTGTACGGGCATGCCGTCCTTGGATGTGTGTGTTGCTCATGGCGGGTTTGAAGGAGCTGCGCTGCTGTGATGACGACGAAGGCGATACTCGACTGTTAAGCGCTGGGTAAAGCCGTGGTTGCGGAATTTCTATTGTGCGCACCGTGTGGTATGAGCTGATAAAGACGCGCCGTGAAGATATTGTCTGGCACTCGAGAGCGTTTCATCGGAGTGGTACGGGTGACGCAGCCATGCCTTGTTGTTCGGTCATGGCCATGTCTAGTATCGTTCCGTGGTGCAAGATCGCCGGGTTATGGGCGGTATGTATTGGCCTTACGCAGACGGAGATGTGCGCCCGGTCTCGTCGACCTCTCCCCGCCGTGTTGCCATGTGGTGCGACTTTTCGCCTGATTGCTCTGCAGAGGCTGCCCAGCCCTGTCGGTGGGGCTCCACCGAACCTCTGATAAAGAGTTCCGGGTTCGGGCGGACGCATTTTATTTGTTTAAACTGGTTTCACAGCGACAGCCGGCCTGTGGTCTCTACTTCTCATCGCCTCAGCGAACACCGCCGTCCATGAATAATGCAAGGACCTTGTGGCGCCTTGGTGTCGTAGCGAGAGGACTGTGCAGGTGGCGTTGGTCACGCGGGCCTACTGGCCGCCCCGGCGAACCAACGGCCGGCCGCGGCGGGCCAGCCAGCTGACTGCCGTGCCGTGTACCGCAGCCGAGCATGGGAGGTTGTGTAATAACGTCGCCTGCTCGCACGTTTATGGTCTTAGCAGCCGTGTTATTGGAGCTGCCAGCCCCCGCATTGGACCCGGCGACCGGTCGCACCGAGCTGCTGGCGCTGTTTGACGGACTGGCATCTACACCGCGCGGGCTGAACTGCTGGCCGTGTTGATTGGGATGGCGTGTTGGCTTTGCTGGGTTGTCCGTGTGACGGATCCGCCCAGCCGTCATGGGGACGATCCGTCACGTCGGTTTGACGGTCCGTCATGTGGGACCGGTCGACCCGTGTGCCGCGCTGCCGTCTGCCGGCCTCCCCAGTGACCTCCCGCTCCCCTGCCCTTCTTTCGCCAGTCGCTGAAGTACTCGTTCCGCACGCCCGACCGACTCTGCTTCGTGCTGGAGTACGTGAACGGCGGCGAGCTGTTCTTCCACCTGAACAGGGAGCGCAAGTTCTCTGAGGAGCGGACGCGTTTCTACGGCGCCGAGATCATCTCGGCGCTTGCCTACATGCACCGCAACGGCATCATCTACCGCGACATCAAGGTGGGTCGGCGAGCGCCGAGCGCGCCGCCGCCGCCGCCGCCGCCGGCCCCAGCTGAGCGGCGGCCGGCGCCGGCCCATCCGGCGCCAGACACTCCGGACGGGCGTACAGACACTCCGACAGCGGTCTGACGGCGGCAGCGCGCTCCGCGGCGCTCCTGGCACCGGGAGCTGACTGCGTCTCCAGCTGCCTCCGGCTCCGCTTGTGCACGCCGCTCGCGGTCGCCGTGGCGGGCCGGGGCTGGTGTGGTCTTCAGCGTCTCGTCAGTGCGGACGGCGCTGTGCCGATACTGGCCACTGCTCCGTCCGTGGCGTAGAAGTCTGGCGGCCACCGGCGGCCACGCCGCCGGCCACTGCCGCCCCCGCGTTGTTTTTGTGTTGCGAGGGCGGCGGCCGGCGGCTATTCTCGGCGGACAAGGCGGCCGACGTGCGGCCGGCAGCAGCCGCCGCCGGCCGTCCGTGTGAGCGGCGTGCGCCGATGATCCCCGCGTCGGCACCTGCCGGCGCTACATTCCCCGCCGGTCAGGAGTTCATTCATGCGGCTGGTGAGCGGGCTTGGGGCCGGCCGGCCGTGCGCAGCGGCCGTGCCGCGCCCGGCCGTCTCCGCAGCTGGCGTGCTGGGTCTGCCCAAAAGACAAAGCCGGCCGCGCTGAAACATCGATTGCGTCAGGTCATTAGCGAGCTCGCTCCATCGGCAGTGGATTCTCAGGGGGTTACAGGTTTTGCGTTGTTTATTCCAGGCAACGCCTTAGAGCTGGTGGAGGCTGCCCTGCCCCGTCGAATGCTGTTGGGGGGCCTACACGTCCCATCCCAATCCTTTGTCACTGATCCGTTCGCTGGAGGTACACTTACCCTCCCAATCCTCTGCCGCCGATTCGTTCGCAGGCAATGTTCACTTTGCAGAGGGACGCCAGCAGGATCAGCATGCTGGTCAGCTACATGCCCGGAGTGACGCGGCAATGCCGATAGGGACTGCGCTTAGGGACTGCGGATAGGCTGACGGAGTCGGCATTCCCGGTGTGTTGGCCTCTCCAGCTGCTGTTGGTAAGTCCCGGTCCCCGGTCAGCACTGCCCGCTGCGAAGTCGCCCGGCATTTGTGAGGTTTACCCGGCCCATTGTCTCCGGGACTGCCCCACCTGCTCTGGCGGAGGGGGGGGGACGGCACCGCGGCACGCAGCGGCCTGGTCACAGGGTGCTGCCCAGCGCAGCCCGCCGACGCCCGAACGCCCGACGTCATGGTCGCTCTTGACGTCCATCACATGGTCGGTCCGCATAATGCCAGGACTTCACCAGCGCCAGGCTCGCGCGGCGCCAGACTCGATCGGCGCCAGGCTCGATCAGTGCCGGGCTCGCTCGGCGCCAGGCTCGATCGGCGCCAGGCTCGATCAGTGCCGGGCTCGCGCGGCGCCAGGCTCGATCGGCGCCAGGCTCGATCAGTGCCGGGCTCGCTCGGCGCCAGGCTCGCGCGGCGCCAGGCTCGATCAGTGCCGGGCTCGCTCGGCGCCAGGCTCGCGCGGCGCCAGGCTGGATCAGTGCCGGGCTCGCGCGGCGCCAGGCTCGATCGGCGCCAGGCTCGATCAGTGCCGGGCTCGCAAGGCACCAGGCTCGATCAGTGCCGGGCTCGTACGTCGCCAGGCTCGATCGGCACCAGAGTGGACCGGCACCGCGCCGCCCGGGGCGGCCGGGACCGGCGGCTGCTGCGGCGCTGCGCCGTGGCCGAGAGCGCGGCGTCATGGCGATGAGGAAGAGTTGTCAGAGCGCGTGGTCGTGCTGCCGGCCGGCGCCAAGCTGGGGTGCTGTCGCAAGCCCCGCCGGGCTGGGGCTCGGAGGTCAGCTGGCGTGTGGCGCCCGAGCCGAGCACCAGGAGGGAAAGAAGGGCGACGGCGCCCGGACCGTGTCTCTGCATCTGTGGGACCAGCAGCCTCTGTGCGTCGGTAGGGACCGGCAGCCTCTGTGTGTCGGTGGCACCAGCAGCCTCTGTGTGTCGGTGGGACCGGCAGCCTCTGTGCCGCGCGAGGTGGGATGTCATTGAAGGGAAGCTGTCGAATTCCTCAGGCGTGGGTGTGGCTGCGATGCCGACGACCGAGGGTCAATGGTTTGGCTTAGTAGTGGCCCGTGCCATTTCTCATGAGTTGAACACGGGCTAGCGTCATCTCATCTCTACGTGTGTTGTCATCGTTCACGCAGAGATCCCGCTGGTGTTCATGCACGCCATGCTTCGCGTTTGTTGCTTTGTGTCGTTTGTTGTCGTGCTCAGTGGAGTCGTGGATAACTAACTGAAACAATCGGCCCGCAGCTCGAGAACCTGCTGCTAGACAAGGACGGACACGTGAAGATCGCCGACTTCGGCCTGTGTAAGGAGAACATTGTGGACGACACCACGACGAAAACCTTCTGCGGCACGCCCGAGTACCTGGCGCCCGAGGTGAGAAGCGATGGTCACTACGTGAGGCCCCGGATCACGCTGGTATGTGGGTAGTAGTACCTGGCCGGTCAGGAGCGTCGCTGCGCAAAATAAGTTCGCGGCGTAGCTGAGTGGGGAAAACAAGGCTAAACGCGCCCTCTAAATGTACAAAGATTGGTTTTCTCGTAGATCTCGTAAAAGATCTCGTAATTGGCCAACCAATTCGACCAGTCGAAAGATCTCGTAATTCGACCAACTTCCATCTCAAATTTGGAATGGGGGCTGGAGCATCTCCCCTCAAATGAATAGAAAACTACACCCGTGCGCCGATGAGATCGAGAACTGGTGTGCTCGCAATGGCGGGCACTGGAGCCCCGCGCCTATCGCGTGCCACGCTCCCGGGTAAGGCACCGGAGGTGGGGAGCGGCCGCAGCCACGGCGGCCGACGGGGCAGCTCGTGACCAGCGTCACGTGCGGACCACGCGACTGGGCGCCGGGCCGCTGCCGTCACGCGACGCGAGGCGGCGCTGCAGGGCAGTCGACGACTGGTGCCACTCTGCAGATGAGGTCGGCTGGTGTGTCGTGAGGCCAAGGTGGTCAGGTAGTCAATGGAGCGTCTTGCGGATCTCCGGAGGCCGCGCGAGAGTCACGGGGTGCGCGGCACTCTTCGGCACAGCAACGGCACGACTCTTGTTTAGCGAAGCGTCTGGAGATGCTGCCGATGGGTGGGGGTGGGCGCGGCCATGGGCGACGCACAGCACTGGCCGGCAGCCCGCCGCTGGGACCACCTCGACCGGACGCCGCCGGCCTCGGCCGCCGCCGACGCTCGAAACGGCCGATTTTCTCGCGAAATCATTCATGACCGGATCGCTTCTCGGAAGGAATTCCGCGCAGCCGACATTGACATGCAGAACGGCTTTGGCGGGCCGGCCTCGGCCCGTCGCCGGGCAGGCGCGGCGCCTTCCCGGAGGCTCCCGGGAGGCTGCCTCGTCGCCGGGCGGCCGGGCAGCGCCACCTGGCCAGCGCCGCTGCCCTGGCGGACACCGGCCGAGCGGGGTGTCCTCGCCGGGCACTGGGCTTCGTATCGCCGCGCCGTCCGCCATCTCCCCGACGCCGGAACGTCGTCACCCCGGCAGTTTCCGGGTGTCGTCAGCGAGTCATGACCGCGCCGGACCCCGCGAGCCGGCCTCCCCTCCCCTCCCCTCCCCTCCCCTCCCCGCCCCGCCCCGCCGCCGCGTGGCCCGCAGCGCCGTCCGCCTGACCGCCGCATCCCGCCGCCAGGTGCTGGAAGACAACTTCTACGGTCGGGCCGTCGACTGGTGGGGCATCGGCGTCGTCATGTACGAGATGATGGTCGGCCGGCTACCCTTCTACAACCGAGACCACGACAAGCTGTTCGAGCTCATCCTGGTGGAGCAGGTGGGGCGGCGCCGGGGTGGCGCGGCGCGCGGCGCCAGCTGCGTCATCGCGGGATGAGCCGGCGGGGCTCGGCGCCCTGTTGTGGGGCGCTGCTCCGGCCGCCGGAGCCGAGCTCACGGCGCCGCCCGGTGTTGTGCCTCCGGTGGGCGGCGGCGCGTCAGTGCGAGAATGTGGAGCGGAAGTTGAGCTGTTGCCGGCCGGGACTTGTCGTCGCGATGGGTTTGACGTCGTGTCTGGCGGACAGACGTCAAACTCATCCCGTCACCGGCGAAGCCCACGTCGCCGGCCCAGCTGGCGCTGGCGCCGGTAACGTGGGCCTCGCCGCCGCTCCTGGGCGCTCTGCCGCGTCCCGCTGCGCCGCTGTCGCTGCCTGTGGTCTCGGCATGGGCCGCTGGGTTCGCTCCGATGTGCGAATGTGCTCGTCTCTGTGTGTGTGTGTGTCGCCACGGCGTCTAGAATCTGCGGGCCTGCCAGCACGTGTTGTAGGCTGTCGGCAGATCGATTCTATGTAGTTTCTTTTGTGTTCTAGGTACAGGTTATGCCTAGGTTCCTCTGGCTTAACTCATGTGTCCATTCGCGAGGCATCATCAGGCACCCATGTGCCACGCCGGGCGCCGACCCCGTGTCATGTGCGTCTCCAGCTCTTGCGTTGTGGTCGCCGGCTGTCTCGGGCCGGCCCGATCCCGGACGTGTGGCGCCCGGGGCCGGTCCGTGTGGCCTGCATCAGGTGCTGTGCCCGTGGCCCGTGGCGTGTGTCTGCGTCCGGTGTGGCCCTCGTGACATGTAGGGTCAAAAGTCTTTGTGACCGGCCTCCGTCACATGTGACCCATGCTGCACGTGTCCCTGCCAGGTGCGATCCCTGTGACGTGTTTCCCCCCAGGTGTGGTCCATCTGACGTATTTTCCCGCCAGGTGCGGTCCCTGTGACGTGTTGCCAGTCCGTTGGACGCGTATTTCTTCCCAGTGTGCCAAGGTGCGGTCCGTGTGACGTGTTTCTCCGCCAGGTGCGGTGACCCGTTTCTCCACAGGTGCGGTCCCGTGTTCTCCACCAGGTGCGGCCCCTGTGACGTGTTCTCCACCAGGTGGGCCCGTGTGACGTTTCTCCACCAGGTGCGGTCCCTGTGACGTGTTTCTCCACCAGGTGTGGTCCCTGTGACGTGTTTCTCCACCAGGTGTGGTCCGTGTGACGTTTTTCCACCAGGTGCGGTCCGTGTGACGTGTTTCTCCACCAGTTGTGGTCCGTGTGACGTTTCTCCACCAGGTGCGGTCCGTGTGACGTGTTTCTCCACCAGGTCCGGTTTCCGCTGGCGCTGAGCGACGTGGCCCAGTCGCTGCTGCAGGGCCTGCTACAGAAGGACCCGACCAGACGGTTGGGTGGCGGACCCCGGGACGCCGAGGAGATCAAGGAGCACCCCTTCTTCTCTCCCATTAACTGGGAAGATCTGGAGGCCAAGAAGGTCAGACAGCTGGGGAGTTTGTGCCAGCGGCTGGCATCGGTCTAGCTGGACGGGGGTGGGAGTGACGTGCCATTGCAGTCGCTCCTGTCAACCGGATTTAAGAACTAGATCTGGCGCAGTGATGGTGACCAGCTAGCTCAAAGTCAGTCTATTTTTGTGGGCATGTATTCACGCAACCACTACTGGCGTATCACGCGCAGGGATTTCATTCGGTCGTCTTGTAACTCTCACGTTCGTGAATGACGTCAGCCGCTGCGAGCGCGCGAACTCGGCTTCCTGGACGTATTCCTGTGGTGCGCTGCAGCACGCGCATTGGGGGCCCGTGCACCTGAACGGTTGGTCTTTCAAGCAGCCAAGGGTAGTTTGTTTCGTAAGGCAGCGCTCGGTGGTGGCTGCTGGTCTGTTAGCAGTGACGGTAGAGAACGCCGCTGGTCCCTGGTCTGGGGAGGACACCGTTGGTCCGCTGGTACGCGAGCGGTGGTCCTCGGTTTTGGCTTGTTTGGGTCCTTGATACAAGCAAGGAAGGCATCGAGCTCCTGGTTTTTCGCCACTTTATGGTCAGAGATATTATGCTGGTAGTTATTGACCCTCACGATACCAGAAGGTACTGGTTAAACGACGTTAACAAGCTGCATTTGATTGTATTGGCAACTCTGGACGTTTCGGGCCGTGCTCATGACTCGTGATGATACGCTCTCGTGGGACTACGCCCTGAGGCCAGGGGGCATTGATGAGGCACAGGAGGGTGCGCGGGTCCTGACGCTGGAGGTGCTCCTCATGTAAGCCGTCCGGTCCGGGCGCCTTCTGCGGGCTGCTGTTGGCTTCTGTGGGTGATGGATGGACTTGTCGGCGCTTGAAGGCAGCGCGGACGAGGTGGCCCATCAGTCACAGTGCTGCAGAAGACCACCCGGAGCGCACGGCTTTTGCGCGGAACAGCTCCGGCGCCCGGGCCCAGACTCGCTCGTTGCTGAGGCCGATGTGAGCCTGTGCAGCTGGAGTGCTCGCGCTGCGATCTCGATCTGATTTGACCTGGCCTGGCCGGCCGCCCGTGACGTGACCCCTGCCCTGCCGAGCCGACCTGACCCCAGACGCAGTGCTCGGCCGCGACCTGACCTGACCTGACCTGACCCGACCGCCGGCCGTTCCAGATCACGCCGCCGTTCAAGCCGCAGGTGGAGAGCGAGACGGACACGCGTTACTTCGACTCCGAGTTCACCGGCGAGTCTGTGGAGCTGACGCCGCCGGAGAACGCGCCGCTGGACGCCATCACCGAGGAGCCGGCCTCCTACTTCACCGCCTTCAGCTACCAGGACTCGCCGCGGTAGGCGGCGGCCGCGGCGCGCGCGCCCGCCCCGCCAGCCCTGTGATAGTGCCCGACGGCGACGCGGCCGCGGCCGGCGCCGGCGCTGGCGCCAGCCTGCAGCTGACCAGAGCCTAATAATGGCGGCGGCCGGGCGGCCGAGTGTGCCGGGCCGCCCGGCCGGATGCCGCGCCTCGCGCGTGGGCGTGCCGGCCCCCTCCGAGCTGTGCTGACGGGCGCGGCAGACTCGTGACGTTTTGTCGCGGCCGCCGCTAGTCGTCCCCCGGGTGCCGAGTTTTGTCGGTGCCGCGTCCGGAGCTTCCGAGGTCCCGTTCCGATTGTTTTAGCATAACGATTGTTTTCGTTATACCCTAATCATGGCGTTGTTTTAATCCGTTGTTGGCCGCGCGCGACGGGCCGCTCTTCCCGCCCCTGCACGCGCACCGCACACCCACCCACACCCGCAAACGCAGCACAGATGTGGCGCGGACACCGGGGTGACCGGACGCGCGCGTACGAGGCGACCGCCCGTCTCACACTGACGCAAGCGCACGTGTTGACATTCGCCGACTGGGGATTCACCTGGACAAGCGCGGACTCCGCGGCACTCAGCTTCATGTGCACGGGCGCCGTCGGTGTCGGGTGCCGGTGCTTCGGACGCGAGGGGCGTCGCCCGCCGCGCTCAGGGTGTCGGCTGGTTTTGACGATGGCGACGCGGTGTTTCGCTGCTGTGAGCTGTGGCAACGTTGCGCGTGGCCTGCCGCGATGGTGGCGCCGCCTTTCGCCGTGCGGCAGAGTTGGACGGATGAGGGAATGAGAGTAAGGGATGTGTGTTTGCGGGTTAGTCAGACGGTTTCAGTGTGTGAAATGTTGGCGTATACTTTCAGCTAAACTGTTGTCCTCCATGCCAGTCAAATAAACACAATGGAAGCTGCGGTATTTGGCTCGTATGGTATGTTTATCAACTGGCAGTCGGATGGTTCTCGCGTCACCCAGCATGTGAACCCATTTTCTCGTGGACATTAATCCGCTTTCTCTTGAGGAAGCGCTTTACGTCAGCGTGGCTGGTGTGCCTGCGCGTTCGAGACCGGCTGGATGAGGCGGATACTAAGCCTGATGATGGTGCCCCGCACACTGCAGGACCCAGCCCCTCGGCCACGCACGGCTCCAACCTATGATTTGCAGCTCTGCCAGCATCATGAAGGTGACAATGTCCCGCAAGAGTTTCTTCCTTTGTAGTGGAGAGGATTTCGCGGTACGAGAGCTCATTACAGATTTGTACTGCCGGGTTCAAGGGCGCGAGAGGAACTGGATGCGTATTCGTTTGTGGTCGTCTCACTTGAGGCAACTGCCTCTGTCATCACGCGTCAGTTTTTCCTCAGAACTGTACGCCTTTTTAGCCGCCCTTCCGTACGTGACCTGTCGGACAGAAAGAGGTGTAGTCTTCGGAGACCCGCTAAGTGCACTCCTATCATAGACCCAACTTCGATTTCACGCGACCATCCCTCTCTGACACGATCGTTAGGAAGGAACGAACGTTTAAGCAACACTCAAATCCCTTTTGTGTGGATCCCCAGCCACGTTGGGATATTGGCCAACGAGAAGGCAGGCGCTGCAGCGAAGTTCGTTCCATTTTAAGAGAGGTCGCTGCCAGTTCATGTACGTGCTCGAGGTCTCCAGTCGGTCATATCTACTTACGTCCCCGATGCGTGGCGGAGCATGTTTGAACAGCATCTGCACCCATTAAGGGCGATCGAGCCCGAGCTTGGTAGCTGGAAGGCCTCCCACCGCTAAAGCCGCTCCTGGGCGGTCACGCTTTGTAGGCTTCAGTCGGATCATACGTGTGCAGCGCACTCGTTTCACTTGACACACCACAATGTGTCACCGCGTGACAAATGTGCGGACGGACTGTCTGTTGAACATGTTCTCGTGTCGTGCTGACGCCATGAGCCGAGAGCAAGTGAAACCCCAACCACCCCCGCAGGCGGTGGTACCGCCGTTTCGCCACCGCATAAGTTGTTGCACTTTCTACCACACACCGTTTTGTGTGTTGACGTATTCCATGAAGTTAATGCACCGGGCATTTTTCTCAGCGGCATTAATCACAACACTCCTACAAACACAGCATATTTTGTCTCTACACGGGCAGAACGTCGTGCAAAGATTGTCGAGATGTGTATTAAATTGCATAGTGCCATTTACAGCTTGGTCATGGTGTTTAACCCCCGCTACTACGAGCATGATCTTAACGTCGGTGTCTGAGGCGAGTTTAAGAGTTAAACCTCACCAGGAAGGCGTACAGCCACCTCTCCAGAATCACTCTACGGATCACTATGTAGCTTTGAGAGCTGTGTTCGGAACACTTCCTCCAACCGACCTGAGTAATCCAAGCCCCTGTCACGTCAGGTCATAATGTCATGACCTCGCTGCCAGGGATCCGCGGCACAAATGTGGGATGTCCGCGCCCCATATGCTGTTATGAGACGCGACGCATCACATCTTGTCATCTAATGGTTCTCGAGGCGTGGATGTGCTATATGTTGTAGGTTATCGATGTCCCCGACCTCTGCAAAGGTTATTTGGATGCAATCGTTGGCTCTGATCATAAGGTTGACATCAATTTAGCCCGGGACGGTAAATGATTGGGCGCGTCAAAGGTGAAGCCATGGTCACTAAGGTCACGGCAGGAAAACCTTAAAATCGCCCAAACAAATATTTCCGAGGCTTGTGCAGTTCACTAATATCGCCGTGATGCAAGCGGTTTGTTAAGGTCAGCATTGTTATTAGGGTGTTTTGTCAAAAGTGATGTATACTGGGAGGTTGCTCGAAGAACTTAAAGCTTGGCGGTTTCAAGCCATTTCCGCCCATGGGAGACAGCAAGGCTCTATAAAAATGACAGCGGTTTAACGTTATAAAATTGCAGCGGTTTGGACGCCTTAAACAAAGTCCTAAGTGCCTTCTTACCAAGCTGATTCGCTGTTTTTTGACCATAACATCGAGCAGGTGCGTCACTTGACCGAAGACGAGCGTGATTTTGGAGAGAACAGGGAAGGCAGCAGCGCTTAAAAATAAACATATTTTAAGCTACGTCCAGATGGGTGTTAAACTAATCCTCAAAATGAGAATGGCTCGGTGCTGCGTATACAGTACGATGTGAGCACATTTGATCTGTATTTAACCCAACCTTTCATTTAACCCAATCACAAACACACCTGTGCAGCAACATTCGAAATGTTGTCACCGCTCAAACTTCCCAAAGACGGGCAGCCGTCGTTGCCCTCCCACTGATTGACTTGACTTCTTACAATGTACAGCGCCAAAAATGGGGTTTCAAACTGAATCGGCCACATTGAACATCAGTCGGCGCAGCTAACGGTCCTACCTTTTTTCAAGAGCAACGCCCTTCAACTTCCAAGTTCCAAATCTTACCGAATATGGTCGTATAACACGGTTGCGGCGGGTCATGCCCTGGAGTGGTGCGTCGCCATACATGCTGAGGTGGCGCGTCATGGCCTTGGACGGCGCGTCGCCGTGCAGACTGAGGTGAAGGGTCACGGTCCGAGTCGGTGGGTCACCGTGCAGACTGATCTGAAGGGTCACGGTCCGAGACGGTGGGTCGCCGTGCAGACTGAGGTGAAGGGTCACGGTCCGAGACGGTGGGTCGCCGTGCAGACTGAGGTGAAGGGTCACGGTCCGAGACGGTGGGTCGCCGTGCAGACTGAGGTGAAGGGTCACGGTCCGAGACGGTGGGTCGCCGTGCAGACTGAGGTGAAGGGTCACGGTCCGAGACGGTGGGTCGCCTTGCAGGCACGCAAACCACCTAGGAATGGAGGATGGTGGCGTCAGCCAGTCGCCGCGGATTGCATTGTGCGTATGAGTTATAAGGGATCATAGTCATGAGGAGAGAAGGGTCATCTGTTTGGTGCTGCTCGGGCGCGCAGCGTGAGCTTGCCTGGCGTTGTTGTGGGCCTCGGTCCACCGTTGTTTCGGGGGTGGCCATGGCCGGGCAAAAATTATTTTAATCACTTAATTCAGGCACCTGAAATAGCTCGGCCTGACAAGCTGATCTAACATTTAAGTTTTATTTTCTGTTTGCATTTTTCTTGCTGGAGTTACAGTAATGTGAAATGAGATTTTCACGTAATGCTTTGTTCCCGTCGAGATTAACATCCGAGTCAATGGTGCAGAGTTCGTCGGCATCCTACGATTTCCCCCACTTTCAGATTAGCTACAGCCGGATGTTTGAGACATAAGTTCCCATAAAGTAGACAAACTGGTTCTCACCCATGACGTGAAGGCGAAATATCTCACCAAAAATCAAATCTTACCAAATATGGTCGTACTACACCTTAAACAACCCTGTAAAACAAGGGCATTCCAAAGCCCGGTTTCGTTTTTTTTATTGCATTTTTGAATGCTAAGATACCGTGATGTAGAATCCTTTTTTCATCCCATGGTTTATTTTCCCTAGCGATCAACATGGGAGTCAATGGGACTGATGCCATCCGTCACTACTATTTCCCTGATTTTCACATTAATTGTTGCTGGACATCTGATACCACAGCTCCCATGAAAGATAGACCAGAGAAAGCAGCCCTTTATCCAAAAACTGACGGTGATATTTTCTAACCTAAGATAGCATGTCACCGAATATGGTCGTGATGCGCCTCGACCGACGCGGCTTGGCAAAGTGATACCCAAACTGGGCTGCATTTTCTACGTGCACGTTTTGCTCCAGTGCCATGACAATGTGGAATCAGTATCTCAACTAATACCTTGTTTTACCCTAGATGTTGGCATGGGAGTTGATGGGACTGATTTCATTTGCCCTCACGATTCGCCTGATTTTCAGACTGATGGTACCGGGGCGTCCCGTAGGTCGAGGTGATTCCAAACTTAAAAAACAGTTACAAATAGCGATGCATTGCTTTTTACGTCTTTGTATCATGTGCTGGATGAACGATAACTGTTATCTCAACCTTGGCCTTTTAGCCTATTTCGGCACCGCCCATGTGTCTGGCGCGTGGTATTACTGCCGTTATTGTCAGCCTGACACGCGGCGATGTAATCACTACCCGTGTGTCGCAGTAACGATCGACTCGGCTGCCACGAGCGCCGTGCAGAAATTCTGCTGGAATGTTCATGAGGAGACTTTCAGGTTCGGCGCCGCATCATAGTGATGGAAATCAAAATAAAAACGGGATATTGATCGAGTAACAGCGACGCGACTCCATGCCTGTGTGCTCAGGTATAACGAGCACAGCAATACTGCGTAGCATAAGCTGCGGCACAAGTATCAGAACGATCTCGTCATGGGAAAGCGTCCAGACCTCAACTAACATGCACTCTAGTGAAGTGTCACGAACGCATTCATCTCTCACGCAAGGCCTGTAAGACTCCATATATGATAAACGACTCACGACACTTAATGCCCCACGCTAAACTATGTCATCCGTTTAGTGACTCGAAGATCCAAGTGTGTCGCAAACGGTAAGCTCTGAATAGAGTATCACTAGTTGTCGTATCATCCTAGGTCACCACGACCATGCTTCCCTAGCATAGTGGTTGCAAGTCATATGGTTGTCACCCCTGGATGATTGTTGAACATGACATATGTCCACCTCGTTTCTAATGTCAGTGTTCCTATTTTAAAGTTTGGGCTCTCACAAGGAATAGGACCGGCGTTCCTTACATCCTGTGTAGCCATAACCACTTACACCACCTTCCTGAGATATCTGACCTGTGGTGAGATATCTCACTTTCAACTTGGGGTGAGAATCTGTTTTCCCCATCCTAATGCTCATGGGAACTGATGTATTCGATGTTCAGGTACGGTTTGTCTGAGGATCGGGGAAATCGTACGGGCCGACGTAATCAGTTCCTTTGACTCCCATGTTATTCTCAACAGGAAATAAAGCATTAGGTGAAAAACGTATCTC